ATTAACTGCGTCATACATATAGGCGTTTAACCCCCAGGGGTTGAAGTACAATTTAAGTCTCCTCCAATTAGTAATATTCTTGAGCTATGCTGTATAATTGTGTTGAAAACTTTTTTTATTAAAAGCCGGTCTGTCCTCCTTTGGAGCCTATATATTCATGAGTGATATTTCAATGCTATCCATAGAGCCATTTAGCAATATAAATCTACGCTCAAGATCTTTATGGATATTTACTAAGTTAAAGACACAATAAATATTTAAGTAAATAAATTTAAATAATAAAAGAAAAAATAGAATGAAATAAAATGACATTGAAGGAAAAGATGCATAGCAGTTATGCTTTTGGTGGCTAACATGGTAACTATAGAGTGGAGGAACTATGACGTCACTTTGTAGGCTAATCGGCTGCTAGCATAAAACTGGTTCCCTCATGAAAACCCCTATAGGATTTTCCCATAGGCTTTTCGAAGATTGCCAATAATAAGCTCCGTGTTCAAACACTGTTCATTACACTAACACGTTTTGTCCAGCCGGATAATCCTCACATAAAAATACAACTTTGAGCACTTTTGGATCTTAAATGCAAACGCAAGAGATGAAAAGCTAACATTAGGCTATAAACGGACTACAGAGCCCTTGGGGCGCTCGCCTGTGACTACAGCACCACCCTGCTACAGACGACTTATCAAGCTTATTTTTTAGAAATAATGTCCATGACAAAGAGTTAATCTCTCTGTTTATTATATTATAATCCACAGTATATATTATAAACAAATAAATACACACAAACACATAGAACTACGTGCCTTATGGATCGTTTTTAAGTGGGAAATACATCTGTTTTGCTTTACGGTTGTTCTAAAAGTTTTAAAACTATGTATAAATGTGCCTGCATAGTATTATCATAATACATATTTAAATAAGTGTATCGTTCGCGTGCACACAGCCTGCTTGCTTTAACAGAAGACAGAAATGAGGCGTGAGGGACAAGTCTATCAAATCAATGCCTGCAAGTTCCATCATGAACACAGAGCAACATTCAATATTCCTTTTATGTCACGAAGTACAGTGAAAAGCAGCCCATACAGTCAAATATGCTATATATTTTACGGATGAGTGTAAATATTGCAGTTATGACAGAGTTAAACTTGTTTAGATAAAGAAAAAAAGACGAAAAATCACTTGATTACTTAAAAATGACAGTTAAAATGCATGTATTTATTTACACGTTTGCATCACTGAGAGCAGGAAAAAAGCAGGCTGAACTGGTGAGTATCATTTAATTAAAATAAATGATCAACAAATGAATCTGTCTCGACAGTCTTTACAAGTGAAAGAATTATCTACACACAATCTGAATTCCCAATTAGAAAAATACTCAAACTATAAAATACTATTCATGAAAATACCTAAATAACAGACAAATCCAAATGCCCAACAGAAGCGAGCTGCGCTACAGACCAGATCATTTCGATGACGTATAATGTCCTCGACACCACCTGTAGTCTCATTTAGCACTTTGATAGCAACCATCCTTTTAAAGAAGCATAAGCGATTTAAAAATTCACGAGTGTGCTGTAACGGATGTGTTTTATGTCGTAGAATAAAACGTGAAAGTATAGTGAGTTTGTGTTAGCCACGAACCTTATTTTAGCGATTTTACTGAAACCCCATACAAAAAACCCATTGACTTTGGGACGAGGGAACCGGAAGTGCTAAAATGCTAACTCGCTTCCGGGTAATTGCATACAAATTGATGTCATAGTTCCTTCACTCTATTGGATAGGTACAGATGGAGATTCTTTCAGAACAAATTTTTTAGTATTGAGAGGTCTTAGGGGAACAGTAAGACCTATAAACTAGGAACTAAAGTAGATGTCTTTGGAACAACAATACCTACTACAGTTCAGCCTTACTATGTAGGGTATACCTGTCAACATTGGGATGTGAAAATAAGGGATGTGCCCACCATAATAAGGGATGTGTCCACCATAATAAGGGGACCGGGGACCCCACAGCCCATTTTCATATTTTTCATATGACACAAGTACAAGTTATAGCTCAAATGAAAGTGAATTATATCCCCATATCAAACAGTTGCCGGATGAACCATGGTGTTTCCATAGCGCAGAAATGAAAACAATACATTCATGATCAATAAGCAGCCCCAGATAGCAGACAGCTGTCATCTCTTACCTTATGTTGTGTGCTTCAGGGCCATTCTCCTCTGTTTTTGAGGTGATGTGCATAAGTAATCCTTTTATATGTCTGATGTGGTCTAAACATAGTAAATTATGTTTGATCAAACAAAAGAATAGTGAAATATGTAAACAATGATCGATCCCTGTGGCTTGTACAGCACCTCTCAACAGTTGGAATACAATAACTTTTGCATAGATAATGGTAGAGACATTTTTCTTTTTTACTATGATTACAGACATGTGCAGGAACCACCAAAATTAATTACAACACGCTAGACCACACAGAACCTAAAAGGTACACTTTAAAATTTGAGTTAATAAAAAATAAATAAATACAAAAGCGCCTCTATTTTTAGCTGTTTATTATAACACAGACAACATATACAGGTATTTTAAATGCTCTCAATAGTGTTTTGTGAAAATGCAAAGGGTTTTCTTTTAAAGGGCCATGAAACCCCCTTGTTTCAGCAGAGTGTTTTCACACCTCTACTTTGGAAAAAGTCAGAAAAGTGGGCGTGTCCAGCTCTGTTTAGTGGGGAGTGTCGGAGGAAGAAAAGAGGCTTGGTGTGGGAGTGTCTATTTGGGCGCGCTGAATTTCAGAGTCAAAACACACAACCACAGCGGACAATGTGACTGTGTTTACATGGACATCTGTAGTCGAATTATTTGCCAAATTATTAAATGGTTGACTTTAACTGCAGTTTGGCTCTTTCATTCAGGGAATTCATTCATGCCCCTCACGACAAACGTGATATTTGATTCAAGGAGCTGCTCTAAGTGTGTATTTTTCATGCAATGTTTGATACCGCATGGCGAATGAGAGAGAAAAAAAAACTCAGCATTTCCCGGAAACTTAGATGCACACGGCAGGTAGTGTCAGAAAGCCGCGTGTGTTATTCCGGTCACAAAATTCAACACGAGGTTATAGTTTAATTGTAACTGTTAGTGCTAACTTGTTTACACTCGGTGCAATAGTTTGTTTGATACAAATAAAATACGAACTGAATAAACAAAGAGCACTGGTCGCTCACTTATCAAATCTGTAGAGACAGGACAATCACCAGCAACTAGAGCCGCGTCTTTATTAAGAGAAGACAACAATCGAATCCGGATCTCAGCGTTTGCAGATGAGAACAGCTCTCAGGTAAACAATGTTCCTCCTTAGACACGTAAGTTATTGTTGTCGCGCGTCGCGTACACTGTTAATCCAGACGTGACGCCAGCTGCGCTCTCACAGAGAGAAAATGAAAACAAAACTTAACTGCAGCAAACTATAAAAGCAACACTTCACGCTTGTTTTGCCAATATAACGTGGCGTCTTTGTGGTGTAAGCACGGTGACACTAATGAATATTAATGAAGTTGCACAATAGAGCGCGCTGATTGGTTTGAACCAAGCCTTACTCATGCATTAATGCAACACACTGTAAGACGTAATAAGACACACTCTGGCACAGACGCCCAGTCTGCACGCTGGAATACAGGCTATTATGTCATGACCGTGACGCAGCTTCAAAAATTCGTTTCAAACCGGAAGTACGAATTTGCTTGAAATAACGCAAAAACAACCAATTTACACTTTTTAGTGAAATATAGGTGTCCTAATAGTGTTTTTAGCAGTGTGGGACACATATACGACTGTCAACAGCTCAAAAAATGTGTTTTGGTGTTTCGTGACCCTTTAAAGTTATACCAATTTTTTTCATTTACACCTCTGCATGTGGATTTGGCAAGCTTTTAAATTTGGGTAGGCAAAATCCAGGCGGAAAATCACAAAATATTACTGATGGGCAGAAGGCAAGCCATTGTGTAAATCAGGTTGATGCTTGCTGTAATAGAAAGAGATGATGACTGTCCAGCTTGTTGCTTCACCCGGCAGATGAGATGCTCAGTGTAGACCCTAAGCCTGTATACAGTACATGAATGTATACAGTATATACAGTATAATAAACCTTACTATAGTATGGTTAATGTAATATTATATAATATTAAATGTAATATTATTTAATATAAAATACAATTACAACTTGTTACTTCTTTCATCTGGGTTATATTCTTGTACATAATTTTTTAACTGTACCTTTAGAACCTTATATTATCACCAAAAGCAGCATCACAGCAGTCTCCTTTTAGTCACTCCACCTCTTCACAGAGATTGTCTGCCTAATATAGTGTATAAAATCAACTACCGTGGCTTCTGGAACTTAACAGTAATGATATTCCAGATGCTGGACATCCACTGGCACATGGCCTCACCAGTTTAAGAGTAAATCTCCCTTCTTTGCAATGCTCTGATGCGTTTAGGTTTCTCTGCTATTAGATTTTGCTGTAGAATGAAATCAACGATATCAGATTTCGCTATGCGGAAGTAAACAGCCTGACTGATATTCTACCGGAAACACGTCAGCAGAGTTTGTGCATAGAGCCTATTTACTATAAAATCTATGTTAAGCGGCTTTAACACAATTTCCATTGTAAAAGCACTAGATAAATAAAGATGAATTTAATGGAATCTGCTTAAATGTGTACAAGTTAATGAACCAAACAAAATATCTGATTTATTTTACATTTAATGTGCATCAAAATTAGTGTGTGTAGCCAATGTTTCCAGTGTCTTCTCACTTTTCAGCTTTCAATGAGAGTTTTTAAGACTCAATAAAAACTAATGTTTTTTTAAATTTCAGACCTAATTGAAGAGTATGAGGGGAGTAAAGAGGAGGAACATCATGTCAAAATTGAGGACCAAAGTCATTTACAGACTGATGGTATTTTAAAGAGGAGAGACAAGAATCGTTTCACCTGCACTCAGTGTGGAAAGAGTTTGGCAAGCAAAAGCAAACTTAAGATTCACATGAGGATCCACACTGGAGAGAAACCATTCACATGCACTCAGTGTGGAAAGAGTTTCAGCCACTCATCAAACTTTAATAATCACATAAAGATCCACACTGGAGAGAAACCATACACTTGCACTCAGTGTGGGAAGAGTTTCAACCAATCATCAAACCTTAATAATCACATGAAGATCCACACTGGAGAGAAACCATTCACATGCCCTCAGTGTGGAAAGAGTTTTGGAATACAAAGCAGTCTTAAAATTCACATGAGGATCCACACGGGAGAGAAACCATTCACATGTACTCAGTGTGGGAGGAGTTACCACCAATCATCAAACCTTAATAATCACATGAAAAGCCACACTGGAGAGAAACCATACACTTGCACTCAGTGTGGGAAGAGTTTTGGAATACAAAACACTCTTAAAATTCACATGAGGATCCACACTGGAGAGAAACCATTCACATGCACTCAGTGTGGGAAGAGTTTCAACCAATCATCAAACCTTAATAATCACATGAAGATCCACACTGGAGAGAAACCATTCACATGCACTCAGTGTGGGAAGAGTTTTGGAATACAAAACACTCTTAAAATTCATATGAGGATCCACACTGGAGAGAAACCATTCACATGCACTCAGTGTGGGAGGAGTTTTAACCAATCATCATCCCTTAATCTACACATGATGATTCACACTGGGGAGAAACCATTCACATGCACTCAGTGTGGGAAGAGGTTTAGCCAATCATCAAACTTTAATAAACACATGAAGATCCACAGTGGAGAGAAACCATTTACATGCCACCAGTGTGGAAAGAGTTTTAGCATACCATCACACTTTAATCTACACATGAGGATCCACACTGGAGAGAAACTATTCACATGCACTCAGTGTGGGAAGAGTTTCAGCCATTCATCAAACCTCAATTCACACATGAGGATCCACACTGGAGAGAAACCATTTACATGCACTCAGTGTGGAAAGAGTTTCAGCCAATCATCATCCCTTAATTTACACATGAGGATCCACACTGGAGAGAAACCATTCACTTGCACTCAGTGTGGAAAGAGTTTCAGCCAATTGTCATCCCTTAATATACACATGAGGATCCACACTGAAGAGAAACCATTCACTTGCACTCAGTGTGGGAAGAGTTTCAGCCAGTCAGCACACCTTAATAAACACGTGTTGAGCCACAATGGAAAAAAGCCATTCACTTGTACTTAAGCCACGGTCACACTTGATTTTTTTTCCCCATAGACTTCCATTCATACGCATGCAAATGCGTCAGACCGGAAACACAAGTTCTCCCTCGGTTGGGGAACTTCAGTACTGTACAGTGGATTTGATCTTGGAAAATCCACGTATGGGAGGATTCGATTCAGAAGCCGTTTGTCTGAAAGAGTATTGAATGGGCCAATGAAGCAAAGAATTGGCAGCGTAAGTTTGTGCAGGTGTGCCTCATTGCCAATTATCCCAGCATATAAGCACACCTGGAGCGAGTCACTTGCTGGCCCACTACGTTGTTGGTCTGCCCGCTGGTCAGCCTGCGTTTTGGGTATAGGTGCCTGCTATGCGTGATCCCCACTAGGCGATCCCAAATGCTTATTCCGCCACAGTTAAGCCCCCCCCATGATCAAATCCACTGTATAGCACTTCCGTTACCCTACTCGGGGAACAAAGGGTTACTTCTGTAACCTCAAACGTTCTTGCGTCAAGTTTCGTAGTTCAGTTACTTACAAAGTTTAATCTTGGTGAAGTCTTACCTGCGAAATCGCATCACTTGACTGTGTGAGACCAATCAAATATCAAAACATGACCTCTCTGGACAGAAATTTAAAACATGGTCCAATCGCTCACCTTTTTAAATATATAATCATCTTTGTAGCGAAATTAGCTAAGTTTATGAATATTAATGATCATGAATAACAAGTTATTATTAAATATTAATATTCCGGTTTAACCTACTGTCAATTTTGCAAAACAGATATATAACATGATTCCGCCTGCTTGTTCGAGCAGACACTAAGATTATGAATAATAATTATCAATAACAACCTATTATTATTATTAGTATTATTATAAATATAACCAGACCTCGCCTGCTCGTCTGAGTGGACCCTGTGATGATCTGTTTGTTTAGAAAGCAAATTATTACTACTCCTTTTGAAGTAGATTAATCATTTATGAGTTTGATGAACTTAATAACAGCTTGTACCAAAGGAATCAATCGCTTTAGTGACTTTTTCTGTGAGGCAAACAATACAATCCATTTGATTATAATGGGATTTATTGACTAGTCTGACATGTAACGAACAAACGCACAAACATAACATCAAACATAGAACAAACGTAAACTGAATATAGATAGGCTATATAGGGATCTGTAAAACCTATAACAAACAGAAAGAAACAGAAAAGCGATGAAATAGAGAGTTTAGATTAAAGAATGGCAAATCTACCTCAGTTCCACACAACTATTCAGGACCATTAAGATTGCAAAGAAAACACCTTTTTGATAAGGGGCACAGCTTTAATGCATAACATAATTACCTTTAGAAAGATGGTTTTTCTCTCTTTTTGCGAGTATTCTCTCTGATGCGTTAGATGTCCTTTAGTGTCCTTTCTAGATGCACAGTTTGCGATGCAGGTCGAGGATACGCGATCGCAACTTTAAACTGAGTTTTACTTTGCCAGGAAAAATAAGAAAGCGTGGGCTCAGACGAGCCACGCGGCTAAAGAAAATGCCGTTTGCCCCCTCAAAAGGGGGCAGCCTCTTAGAGAGTTTATCCGGATCATTCTGTGCAGAGTTGTGCACACGGCTGGTTTTTAAACTGTGGTGGCATGTCACACCCCTTTTTCTACTGACTGACCAATGGTCTTCTAGCAAAGTTTGAGAGGGAGATTTTTTTTTGTCTCTGAACCGCTAATATGCAAAATAAGGGTCCGCACTAAAACATGCTAAGAGACATTAACTCGGAGCATTAAATAATTTAAGTCATATAGATTATGATCATGTGCTACGCATCATGTGTTGTAAAATGGCAGGAGAAACTGTATGAAACACTACAGTTTTAAGAAATACATCAACATGATTCCCACATTCTTAGCTGGTATAGCGTCTTAAAAAGGGCACGAGAGAGATATTTACATGTTAGAAAAGTCAGAAAAGAAATACAAAGTTTACAAACACATAAAATTTACTTTTGGGCTGATTCAGGATTTCTGAGTCCCTTTCAGCATCGGGAGCCTTGTGTGTGTGTTCCTGTGTGTCTCGGGAGGCAGGGGGGCAGGAATGTCTTTTGAAGTTTTGGCAACCATCTCTGGCTTACCTCTAGATAAGTGGTGACACACAGGCTCAGACTTTGTGGCACCAAGAGTCATAAACCCACGCAGAGGAGACTTAGACCCCTTTATAAAATCGATACCTAATTTTATCTACTGACTGTACGTTACATCTTGTTTAATCCTGCCTCTTTTCGCAGCGCTGAACAACAGAATTTTGCATGCTCAAACTATAGTGTGACCGCAGCTTCGGAGAGAAACTATTCATATGCACTCAGTGTGGGAAGAGTTTCAACAGATCAGCAAACTTTAATGAATACATGAAGATTCACACTGGTGTGAAAGAGTATATGTGCTTTAAAGGGCCATGAAACCCCCTCGTTTCAGCAGGGTGTTTTCACACCTCTTCTTTGGAAAAAGTCAGAAAAGTGGGCGTGTCCAGCTCTGTTTAGGGGGGAGTGTCGGAGGAACTAAAGTGGGAGGGTGTGGGAGTGTCGATTTGGGCACGCGCGAGTTTCAGAGTCAAAATACACACACACACACACACACATACATACAGGAGAATGTGATGGTGATTAACCTACATGGACATCTGTAGTCGAATTATTAGCCAAATTATTAAATGGTGGACTTTAACTGCAGTTTGGCTCTTTCATTCAGGGAATTCATTCATGCCCCTCGCGACACACGAGATATTTGATTCGAGGCGCTGCTCTAAGCGTGTATTTTTCATGCAATGTTTTATACCGCACGGCGAATGAGTGAAAAAAAACCCTCTGCATTTCCCAGAAACTTAGATGCACACGGCAGGTAGCGTCAGAAAGCCGCGCGTGTTATTCCGGTCACTAAATGCGGTAAAAACCCTACACGAGGTTAAAGTTTGGTTGTGGTGCTAACGTGTTTACACTCTGTGCAATAGTTTGTTAGATACGAACAAACTAAATAAACAAAGAGCACTGGTCGCTCACTTACCAAATCTGTAGAGACAGGACAATCACCAGCAACTAGAGCCGCGTCTTTATGAAGAGAATACTACAAACGATTCCAGATCCCAGCGTTTGCAGATGAGAACAGCTCTCAGGTAAACAATAATCCTCCTTAGACAAGTAAGTTATTGTTGTCGCGCGTCGCGTACTCTGTTAATCCACACGTAACTCCAGCTGAACTCTCACAGAGAGAAAATGAAAACGAAACTTAACTGCAGCAAACTATAAAAGCAACACTTCACGCTTGTTTTGCCAACACAACGTGGCGTCTCTGTCCTGAAAACACGGTGATAGTAATGAATATTAATGAAGTTGCACAATAGAGTGCGCTGATTGGTTTGACCCAAGCCTTACTCATGCATTAATGCAACACACTGTAAGACGTAATAAGACTCACTCAGGCACAGACGCCCAGTCTGCACGCTGGAATACACGCTATTATGTCATGGCCGTGACGCAGCTTCAAAAATTCGTTTCAAACAGGAAGTACGAATTTGCTTAAAATAACGCAAAAACAACCAATTTACACTTTTTTGTGAAATATAGGTGTCCTAATAGTGTTTTTAGCAGTGTGGGACACATATACGACTGTCAACAGCTCAAAAAATGTGTTTTGGTGTTTCGTGACCCTTTAAGTGTGAGAAGACTTTTATTACAGCTCCAAAATTGAAACTGCACCAGACGTTTCACACTGGAGAGACCGTACAAGTGTTCACAATGTGACAAGAGGTTTAATCAGTTATCACATCTGAAAACAGAAGAGGATTCACACTGGAGAGAAACTCTACAGATCTGATCAGTGTCTACAGAGTTTCACTCATTCGGCGCAGTTTAACAAACACATGGACAAAAAGTTGCACAGAATACATGAATGCAGCAAAACATTTTCTCATGTGCACAGGATGTTTCATGTCTGAATTATGTTTGAAAAGGTTGAGTGACAATATACTGTTTTCCAATACTCCTACACTGCAGTAGGTGGGGTTGTAAATGTGTTGCGCTCCTTATGTTTACCGTAAACACAGTGATGGTGGCTGAGAGAAGAACAGTTTCATAAACATCTGGCAAACAGCATCTCAGCGGCTTAAAATCTCATTGCAAGTGATTGTACAGTTGCGGATACATTTGTACTCCACTCTCCAGTGTATTCATGTAGCTAGTGTTGTTTTGGATGATGTTCTCTGTCTGACTTCCTGAATGAGAAACAAATCACTGGGAAGACACCGCACATCAAACAAGGTGGAGCTCCAGGACTGTTAGTTTGCATATACCAGGGCCTCAAGCTTAGAAAGCCAATTTAATTGTCCTGTGTTGCAGCTTTTATTAGTAAATTTTCTTTACTTTTAGGTTCAAGATTCTTTTTAGTTTACTAAATTTACTTTTTTGAGTAGAATACAAACTTGATGAATATTTTATGATTTAGGCAGAGCGACAGGTATTAAGTGTTACAATATTAATACACTGATAATCCCAAAGTAAATCCCAGGTAAATCCTGATTGGATGCCTGCATTACTCATCAATGGGTAAATAAAAGTTGTTGTGCTAGCTACCCCAGGACGCTGTGGCTACTCAGGAGTCTTTATGTCAAGACCATCATGCCATTTCATTGACTCTTTAACTTTAAGGTATTGTTTTGCATTACTTATATCATGTAGGTAACGTGTTGTTGTGATTATATCCTAAGTTCTTTATCTTCATTATTATCCCTAGACATTTGTTGGTTGCTTTTATTAATTTTTCTATGAGTTATATTCTATAATAAATAATTTGCATTCAGGCTATTTTGTTGGCTCATCTCTCTTGTATGTTGCGACTCAAACAAGCGGCATGTACTTGATATACTGAAGTAAACAAGAAACTTTAGAAAGAAAGTAAAAAATTTGATTTGGTATGCGAAATGTATTTTTTTGCTGTATGGAACAGAACAAACACTCATTTGGGGGATGGTTGGTCTCTAGAACGACAAAGTCAGTTTGGGGGGGGGTCTTTCTCTCGAACTAAGGGCCAGTAGAAATACATTCGGTCTTTGGAACGATCGCTGGCAAACGCTTGGATGCACTCACCGGGGGGTGTTGATTAAACCCAGGCCCAAACCCACTAAGCCATTCCCGAAGAGAGACCACCTTTCCTGGCTTACCTGTCGGGACGTCCAGCGTCTGGAGGTGCGTGCCCGAAGCCAACTGTCTCTGACCTGCCGTCGTGACTTCGACGAAGGCAAAGAAAAAGGGACTCTGTTTATTTTTGGCTTTTGCGGTTGAACAAACCAGGGGTCTAAGGGCAGGCTAGCAGCCCCCAGAGCCAAGCCCGGGCAAGGCTGGTGTGCGCTATGACCCTGGTGCAGGCGGGGATCCAGGGTCCAGAGGCATCAAACACTGCCCCAGGTAGGAGTGCCCGAGCCTGGGCAAGGCAGGTCCACACTATGACCCTGGTGCAGGCGGGGATCCAGGGTCCAGAGGCATTAAACGCTCCCCCAGGTAGGAGAGCCCGGGCGAGGCAGGTGTGCGATATGACCCTGGTGCAGGCGGGGATTCAGGGTCCAGAGGCATTAAACGCTGCCCCAGGT